GCTATCGCCTTTCCCCGCTAGTTCGCTGACTTGATTATTGGCTCAATAGCGAGGATCTTTCCTGCACGTCTAAAAAGAATCGATAACAGCAGCCATCCATCCACATCAATTCACTTTACCGAGGGTACCGTCGTTGACAGTTTAGTAATTTAAGTACCATTTTCGTGTTTTTTTAAAAGACATATTTCTCAAATGCCTAAGTTTTATAGTTAGATGATTTGTCAAACTCCAGTGCCATTTGTTTGACAGCATTACAAGCGGAACGGAGGCAAAATTAATAGACAAACTCTAATAGCATTTATTAACGAACTTCAATGCTTACTTTTTTTTCTTACTTAAATTTTCTGTATCTTTAAATGTTGTTATCGGTTGTCAAATGTATTAGAGAAAACAATATCTAAAGTATTTTAGTCTTATTGCAGAGTTTTCATCATATTTGTGTAGACGTGTATTAAGTCTTTTACAAATATTTGTTATTATTCATTATAATGACAGTTAGAGGAAATTGCTCTTTATTTATAATTGATTTAGCAGCTAATAACCGAAATAATACAACTTAAAACATCTTGTAAGTTACTACTTGAGCTAAAAATCTGACACGCATTTTAACGCAAAGTACGATTGAAGTATTTTCAAAGATGAAATTCGCGACTCAACGAGTTTTCTTTAACTTTAAAATGCTATATAATTAATTTTACATCAAGGAACATCTACGCATCATACGCAAGCGCAGATACATGTACGCAATGTGCACCTATTTTTATTGTATTGAAAACGGATGATTCATCATAACACAAACTTCCCATTTCATAAATATGAAAAATATTCAGTTATACAAAATCATTTCCCCAGCCACACGTGAAAGTATATTATATTTTTCTATTTAGGGTTTTGAGGGCATGAAAGCATATTTTGGCTCATATGATGGCCAGATAAGATTATTTCGACCCATCGAGAATGTGAAGAGGTTACAAAGAACAGCAGAAAGACTGTGTCTACCTGTAAGTATGAAATGTGTCATGAAATGTAAAATATAAATTTCACCACTTTTGAATACATGCCATTGTTTGAGTTTAACTTAAAAATAACCGCCTAAAGTTGTCAATGGGGAGCTTTTGCAAAGACTACGTGTAAGAAGTACGTCATTTTGGCGCGAAAACATTGTTTTCACAAGAACTACTCGTAGCTGTCATCAATCTGAGTCGATGTTTTGTAAAAAAATTGAAGTCGCGACTACGATGTTTTTTAAAGCAATAATCCGTAAACACATATGATTTCAATAGAAACTAGTAAAGTAAAACATGCATACATGAATAATACCCAAACTATCATTATTCCACCACTCTTAAATCCTGTATTAATAAAAATAAGTTGTAGTTGTTCAATTTTTAATTCAAAGTACCAACCACTCTATGGGCTGTAAGTTTTTGAGGAGAAAAATGCAACCAAGGCGCTTGCCCATGATGTATTTGGAAATGTAACAGCTTCGTACCCAGGCGCGATGCCCACACACGCCGTATAACATGTTTAATTTCTAAAAATTGCGCTTTCAAATCAGTCACTCGAAGTATTAAAAAAGCGTCAAATTGTTGAAAGCACCAAAGCACTTTGGTACTATAGGCTGGAAATGTCCTATGTTGAAAAATGTGCTGCAGTTCTTTCTTTTGATGTACCCCATATTCGCCATTGTTTTCCTTAAACAACTAAACCTAAAAAATATAACAACAACATCATCACAGCCATCTTGTCTTCATTTACATAAACATTATATATTTTATTTCATAAACTGATAACTGCATTGAATCTACTTTCTCGAATATATACTACTTATGATATTTTAATATAAATGGTAGAAGTGATGTTAATAGTCCACAAGCAGTAAACGGCTATATTGTCTGTCACATTCAGTGTTTATGATTCAAATTAAAACAGCAAGGCAGCAGTAGTTCAAAAACTGCGCTATTTTCAAATACTTAGTCGATTAAACATTAAACAATTTAGAAGACGTGCATTCGGGCTAAACGCTACCCTCTACCTAATTTTTTTCTGATATTTTTACACATCTCTTTGACATATGTGTTTCTTAGATGCTTCCAATACCAACAATGGAAAATGGTCCAAAGATCGCCAGACGGTTTTACAAGGAACTTACTGATATTCAGGTAGATGCTGCATGAATAATGTATTCATTTACCCCATATTTCGATCCAATACTCCATACTAAGTTGTTCTTTATTTTTTTCAGTATGGAAAAGTTTCCAGTCCATGGGCATATGTTGTAAATGATTCATCTGATGAGAACGAAAATTTACAAGCTATGAGTATAAATTAGTTGCTGTTTCTGGTTCATAGAAACCTTTTTTGTCGTATGTCATATGGACACTAAGAAGCTAAATATAACCCATTTGTAGAAAACCTCAATAATAAATACTTGTTTGACAGAAAGAATTTATGCTCGTTACCTTTATTTGCTGAAATAAGATTTTCCTAAAATAATTATGGCTAGTTGTAGCAAAGTCGGCTCGTGTTTTATTTTCCTATACAATGCAACTATTGCTTTCTTCATGTACAAATATTTTTGTATATGAAACAGAGACTTTGTGTCGTGGTGTCAAACTTAAAGATGGATTTCAAAATAGCAAATACCATGGTGAATGGTGATAATAACAATGTAATAGTTCTTAAAAGAACTGTTTTAACCAGAACTCTAACCCAACAATTTAAAGGAACCGTTATTTACAGCTAGAAAGAGACACTATGCATTTCGGCAGACTACTCATCAGGCGTCAACGTCTGCTAAATCCAATCGCTGAATCACATAGAAAACATCTTTTAAGCAACACTCGCTGTGCCAATGCTTATTCTGATGAAAACTTTAAAATTATTTAAAAATGTCGCTCGTTATTCCAGCTACGCGTCATGGAGTCGGTATTAATTCAATTGACTAATCCTGTCCTTTGCCGACAAAAGGATTACGTGTTTAATCTGTCTCCGTTTTAAGTGTCATCTCTAAAAGTAGGGATGACATTGACTATTTGTAGCATTATAAATATAGCATGATTTGGAGGTTCTCATTTAGCAGACGTTGACACCTGACGAGTAGTCTGCCGAAATGCATAGTGTCTCTTTCTAACTGTAAATAACGGTTCCTTTGAATTGTTGGGCTTGTATAGAACTATGTATTTGTTTTTAAGTAAATTTTACCTCACTATTACTTCCCCAAAGTTGATATAGGTCGCAGCTAAAATTATTCATAAAATTTTTTTACCTGTAACAGGTTTAACAAGCAATAGCCGAATATCTTTGTAGCTGACTAAAGTTTTCAATTAAAAAGCACCGTGCGCTAGACTTATACAAAATTAAATAAATTTGTGATAATTTCGGAGTTTCATTAGCTTTTGACGATATTTTCGCAATTAAGTTTTTTTTATGCTTTTAATAATCGATATCACTTGACTCCGCCAGTCCGTAAACAACTGGTTGTTATCAAAGTACTTACTTGCTTGTTTTAAGCAAGTAATCTTACCTTAGGCTATGTCTCAGTGAATATTTTAAGTATAATTTCGAACGATTAATCACAAGTTCAGTTTAACAATCCTGCGTTAAATAAAGTTTTTAAGAGCATATTTTTTAGTTTTTAATGTAGAACCTATCATGCTAGAATAAACGATGTATTTAACGTAAGAAAATTATAATTTTAACTTAAGTTATTCTAAGAAAGCACTTTAAGAAACAAACGCAATAAAGAAATAATGATTTTGAAGATGAATCAACGTTCAGCAAGATGATGTGTATAAAGAAATGCTTAAAAATGTTGGTAACAATTTTTTGGTGGTTTGAATTTTTTGTCAGATCGAATGCTTCTATTTTTGTCTTTAAATGGCTCAAATAAAATGAACCTAAGTGCCTTTCTAGCTTAATTTATGTATAAAAAAGTGACATACGCAATAAGTTAGCTACTTAAAAGAAACAGATGTTGAATGAAGATATGATCTTAGCACTTTTGCCGGGATCAGCTTCATGAGACAATTGCTTAAATTGTCCAGCAAAGCGCGAAGATCATATCTTCATTTAATTTCAACACCACACTGCATATAACATTCTTTCAGAAACAGATGTGTTGGATTTAGACATAATTTATTAAATTTACTATAACTTTGTTGTCTCATTACATATTGGCGTCATTTTAGTAATGAGAGTTATTTCACTTTAATATTTAATACAATTCGACGCCTTGTATACATAAACAACGTGTTGTTATGACAATTTATATTTACTAGTTTATGATGTCCATTGGATAAAAATGTTTTTTATTTTGCAACGTTAAATGCAAACGCAAAAATTGTTTCCTCCCTTTGATTCATTTGTTAAAATCCACCTATCAGCGAAAACTTTTTTCTGAAATATTACAACAAGGTGTAATGTTTAACGTATCCCTGAAGAAAACGTTTTAATTTGTTCAAATCTTTTTTTTAATATGACGGTTGTAAGTTGCCTTTCAATGGAATTGCTAGATTTCGATTCTAGCAGAATTATGATATCATCGAAGGTATTTGGTGCATATATCTTCTATTGACAAGTGCCATGCATGACGTCACAAAAGTAAGTCAATAAAGACTTTTCGCACGACAGGCAACGTCCACTATAAGAAGGAGTTTGCCAACTTTGAACAGCGAAAAATATGGAACAAATGAATCAACCTAAAAAAAATTCCCCTGATAGGTTAGAAATATTTTCTAAATTGAACATCACAATTAAATTTTTTTTGTCGTTCAATTCTCTGTCACATATTTTATCACTGTGTAAACATGTTTCTTGATAAAGTCTTTCAACCCAAACCACCTGTTCTTAATGCACCCAAGCAAATAAAGTAATTTGGCCTTCCATTTACTGGCTTACACTCATCCCAAATCCGCACAAAAATCAATCCCCTTGTAGTGCTCCTTTCCCACACTGTGAATTACGATTCTTCTTTCGATCCACCAAACACCTCTCCAGCCTGTTTCCTTTCAAGGACAAAGTGCCCAAAACTCTGAAATCAAATGTTGTCTATTCTTTCAAGTGCCGATGATGCTCGGCATCGTTGTTGGTCAAACCACCCGCCACCTACACACTCAAATTTCAGAGCATCTGGGCATCACCTGTTTTTAGTGATTCACTTAGCTAAGCTGTGTTTTTGACTACAATGTTTAAGTGAGGCAACATGTTTTTAAAGAACTGTATAAAGGTGCTTTTAACGATTTTTTGGTGTTTTGAATATTCTCGTCAAATCATGTGTTTCAATTTTTGCTTCGATTCTTCACACAAAGGTAAGGCACGTTATGTAGAAAATACTAGCTATAAATAAGGTTTGTCGTAAAATATTAAAAATTTGCATTTAGCTAGACCCAATTCTTTTTTTATCAGAATTATGTTTGAAATATAGTTGTTCATTTCTAGATCGGAGACTGTGGAGCAATATATACAAAAAAATTAATGTGAAAAATGAGATGGAATGCATTGTTTCTTGCGCTAAGGAACCATGTTGTCGATCTATAAACCACAGGAGAAGGTTAAGTCAGGGAAGTCGGAGTCTTTGTGAAATGTTACATAGTGTCCTCAACAAAAGCAAAGAAAACGATTTAAATCATAATCGATTTTATGATTACATTGTTCTCAATTCCCCTTTCAAGGTAAAAATAAGTTTTATGTCAATCCAAGAATAATTGTTTTGATAAAACTGTTCTTTCTAGTTATATTAAATACGTATTTTTATATTTAGTTGTAACTTATTAGAGATGTTTGTTATTTAAACACAAATTCCTTTCTCTTCAATTCAAATGTTAATTTCGATTGTTTAGGAGTACAACGAAACATGCGAACTCCAATCGTGTAAGTTTAGATGATTTTTACATAGCTACACAATGTTTTTTCTCATATTTATATAAATATAAGGAATTTCAATTCATTCTTAGCTTTTAACAAAAGTTATGATTTGCTCTTTCCCAACGCACATTCTGAGAACATGATTCTGATGGATAATGTGATGCCTAATATGTCAGAGTTAACGTTGATGTTTTGGATAAAAATGAACTCAAGTCAACAAATGGCCCTGTTTTCTTATGCTATAGAAGATAGTTCTGATGAATTTTTTGTTGGCTTTGAAAAGAATTGGCTTATTATCAGAATGCAGTCCAAGGATATTTTGTAAGTTATTACGAAAGTACTTACTCATTTATTTGCATCATTTATCAATCAACATGCCAAAGTATGTTGAATTGCATAAAAAAAACATTCATTTTTATAATAATAATAGACATTAGTTTTTAAGCAACCAAAGCATTTTTGGTTGGTATAATTATTAAATAGTTTACATATGAGATTTTCGATGCTCTTTGTTTTGGAAACTTAGTAATTAATGTTAAGTTTTGTTTCGTTTTTCTTATCTTTTATTGAATTCTTGGTTTGAAAGAGGTGGTTTTTATCAGGAAGAATGAATTGAAAAATGTAAATTATCAAATATTTTTTGCTCATTGCTTCGAAAAATTCCAGTTTCATGATTTATAATCTATCAAATATAACGAATTTACAAAAAATAGCTTATATGATTAAGATAACTTGGGAGTTCCATAATACAGCTTTTTAATTAATGAAAATAATACTAAGTCCCTAACTTACTTCTATTCGTTACGTTACAGAAAACTCAACATTTCACAAATCAACGACGGTTTTTGGCATCACTTGGCCATTATCATTGGTCACATGAGTAAAAAAATTATTCTTGATGGATTTACAATTTGTAACAAAACTAAGTTAAATCATTCATTACCATTATTACATGGTGGCGGTGTTGTTGCTATTGGTCAAAAACTTGAATGTGTGAATGGTGTTTTTGATCCAAATATGTCATTTGTTGGTAAAATAAGTTATTTGAACTTGTGGAGCAAGATGCTGATCATTGATGAATGTACAACTTGTCTAAATCAGAATACTTTTGTAATTAAGTGGGATCTTATGTACCAATTTACAAGTGGAAATGTTACAAAAGTGCCTTCATTACCTAAGTTTGGTAAGTTAAAGTTGCATTTTTACTCCAATCGTTTTATAATTATGTTTATGAAAATAATTCAAAGCAGGGGCGGATCTAGAATTTTTCAAACATCAGTCATAAAACGTCGGAGGCGCTCCGCACCTGGGGGGGTCTGAGGGTATCTCTCCTGAGAAATTTTGAATTTCAGAGCCTTAAAAATGCCATTTTAAGCGTTTTAGAGCATTACAAAATGTATTTTGTGGGCATCGCTTTTGCGTAAATGCAACACATTTTGGTTACGTTTTTTTCAAAAAAAAAATGAAGTGAACAATACTTGAATGTTTTGCCAAATATTTAGGCTCATTATTATGCCAAATATATGGCTCATTAGCATGTCTAGGAACGTAAAATTTATTTTACAATAATGCTATATTCAAAAACAGATATAGCCTTTAAAAATTTCTACCAAGTTGTCAGGCATAGACCCCCCTAGAGACCCCCATTTAAACCTCTATGTAATGAGTTAAGTTAGAAATTTGGTACTACAAGTGACAGTTCATAGACATAGAAAAGCTCAGAGTTAAACCATGCAAGTTTATTGTAACCCTTTACCCATCTCCACATCAGTATTAGCAAATTCAACTTTTGAGAAAAAACTCAAAATTTTTTCTGCCAAAGATTAAGCAAAAATTATTAGAGTGAAAATTTGCAGTTAAGGACAGCTTAATGCCATAAATGTTTATTAGGCATTTCACTTGACTATTATCTTCTTCAAGGTGTGCTATATAGCAATCACTAGTAGCATTGTATTTGCAAATACAAACAGAATGTAACCAACATGGCTTTGTGTCATCTTACAACCCTACATCACACAAAGCCACCACAATCACAACATTAACAAGACGTGCACAAATCATATGTGATTCACCGGACGCTCTACAAAACGAAAACAACTATCTCAAACGTGTTTTTGACAAAAACCACTATAACTCTGACTTTATCAAACGTAACACTTACAAACCCAACGAACCCAGCGAAACGAACAACTCAGTGACAACAGCAACGATACCTTACATCAAAGGTACGTCTGAGACTATCTCGCGTATCTTACGACCATACAACATACGTGTCGCACATAAACCAATCACAACGTTACGACAAGTACTAACGAACATAAAGGACAAAGAACAACCCAACGAACGACAAGGTGCAGTTTCCAAAATAAACTGCTCCGACTGCCACGCCTCCTATATTGGGGAAACTGGCAGGAACTTAAACATAAGACTTACTGAGCACAAATGAGCTACTAAGAAGCAAGACAAAACTAATCACATTGCCGAACATCACCGAATCACAAAGCACAACATTGACTGGGACTCGGCAAAATGCATCACTTACAGTACTGACTATAGACAACGGCTTACATTAGAAAGTTGGTATACCAACTTGGAACAAACCCCCCTGAACAGATCACAGCAATTACCGGCACCTTACAAACGACTTATTCACAATACAAACAAACGATCAACTAAAAACATTACACTTCAAACTAATTCACAATGACAATACACAATTGACACCCACACACTACAACTAAAAATGTCACACCTAAATCACACATCAGAACTAAAAATAAAATATTTGACTTCACACTAATCCACAATGACAATACACATTTCCTGCACATTTCCTGTACACACAATACAATGACGTAAGAACCAGACAACAAATACGGCTAACCTGACGTTTACTCCTCATTTGACTCTGAAGATGACTACCGCTAAGGTTGTTGAAACGTCAGTCAACAACAACAAAAACAGTCCTTCTCAGGACTTTATTAACCTGGACGATCATCATTTACAAACATATAACGATACTCCCGGGCTCAAACCATTTACTTTATGTCTTTAATTATATAATTACATGAATGTCAAAATTGGTTCATGTGTCATGCTTACTGGTTATAATAAATATCTTTTTATATGATCGAAGCTAGTTTAAATGTAAATCTGAAATAATTTAGTTTAGAAATTATAATGATCATCAGAAAAATTTCCTAGTGATCATCAAAAATACTTTGCTGTTTTGCCAAATTTCAAGGTTTATCTGCATACATGGAAAGACATTTTTACTTTAGAGAAAATGCTTTTCATACACTAATAGCCCTTTGTAATTTATGGCAAACAATCTGATATGAGCCGTAGATTAACACACCTTTACATCTCTACACGAGGTGTTCAGTTAGAAAAGGGGACAATATGTGACATGGGACAATATTTCATGTATGTGAAATACTCAGGCTTAAAACCATTCCAGTCAAATTGTCAAAATAAAAAGCTTCATGGATCAGAAGACTCAAAATCACAGGTTATAGTAAACAGCTATTCATGTAATCAATGTTAGTTTTCTCAAATCTTCAACAATATGTAGTATAACTGTCCAATGATTGAATGATCAATGATCATAAACTGAAAAGCCCCAAACATTTGTTTATGATAAAGTAAATAATAGTATGGCGCCTTATGGCTACAGATTTTTTGTCCATTGAAATATATTTGCAGGAATGTAGGATTTCGCTGCCATATAACGGTCACGATTCCCCAAGCACAAAAGAAATCATAGCTAAAAGTCCTTCGACAACAACAATTTTAGAAGCATCTATCTGCTTACCATACGCCATATTAACATAAATCGCATCACACACTCGCATAAATTGACTTTGATATATTACATTCATGCATACACTTCAGTTGTCCTTTACTTACGATTTTGTATGTAAATTTCTGCTGATAAAACTCAAAACAATGTTGGCTTGCTTTTGAACATCAATGACTGAAATGTCGCTCGCGAGATCGTCTTTGCCAAGCATTTACAATTCATCCATAAATTTTTCGCCCTCTTGAAAAAATTCCCAGTTTGGAAAGCAGCATTCATGTCAATATATGAATTTATAAAAGATTTCCATAAATTCCATCTGATTGTAGTTTAGTTTCTATCATGCTTTAGAAAATTATTATGAAACTATCTATCATTCAATTCAGACAGTGAGCTTGACTATGTTAGTTCAGTTGGCTATCAGTCGAAATAGGTCAAACCAATCACAGTAAGACAAAAATTTAAACGAACCAATTTTATGATAGCAAGTGGACTCCCTTATAGTTCCGGCCACCCCGCTTATCGGTCGAGATTATTCCAGATCGTCCACTGATCTGGCTATTGACCAATGAAATAAGCGTTTTTGGCCTTCTTAGACTCCTTTATCCGTCGAACCAGTGAAGCCACCCCGCTTATCAGTCGGTTATTCCAGGCAATTAAAATTCAACTGATCTGGTTACCAAGGAGATATTCATTGCATTAGTCATTAGTTTTCAATAATAAATAAAGCTGGATTTTTATCACGAAGTAAATGCGATAATAAAGTAAGAATAATTAATGAATTTTTAACTAATAGGAATAGGTAATTTTTGAGTTTCAAACATCAGTAGCGCGACGGATTTGACATACTCTAGATCCGCCCCTGATTCAAAGTCAAAACATTTTTCGTGAATTTTACTAAAAATGGCAAATAGTAAATAAAAAAAACGCAGGTTCATTTCCTATAAAGCTAAATATTTAAATCGATGTAAGTATTTTAACTGTATTTTCTTGAGACGTTTAATTGAGATGTACCCAACCAAACTGAAAATAAGATCTTATCTCGCACTTTTTTATCAATTACTTCTAGCAAAAAACCTGTATTTTTCTTGAAATTTGTATTACGTGGCATTACTCGCCTAACAAACATGTTCTTAAACCGTACCCAGTCAGCTATAGTTTTATTAAATGGCGAAATTTTCAACTTGAACGGCTTTGCTTAAGTTGCTCCTACAGCCTTTTTAACTTCTAGCTAATTTCTTTTCAGTAAGGTATTAAATAAATTTCTTGCTGTTGTAGTAATTTTATATCTTGGTCTTTTTTGATAATTCTGCTTCTTGCTATTTATTCTTTTCTTCTCTATTATTTTTCTCTTGTGTCTAGCTGGAAATGTAGATAATTGATTCATGTTACTTAACAATGGCAAGTACTTCTATGTTTCATCTTTCTTCCATTTTCTGATTGACCACGACGTTTTTTTATTTTCTTTTCTCAAAATAGACCCCGTGCAATGAAATTCATTTTGCTAGATCGCTTTAGTTCTTTTTGTTTACGGTCTCTATTTCCTCAAATCAATGTTTGCAATCAGTTCTGCTGTTTTCTCTTATTTGCATTTTAATTGTTCGAATCTTTCGTCAGCTAGTTTTGACATAAATTTGTTGCTCACTAGTATTGATGATTGGTTGATTTTTTAATTCAAAGCGCGCTTTAGTATATTCAATAACGCTTCAATAAAAAAATGTAGGAAATTAAAGTTAGCTACATTTCATATTACGTGTTGTTCAAGGTTGTCCCAAATTTGACTGATGCTTATCTAACGCTTCTTAACATTTATTTTTCAGGTTTTTCATCATGCAAAGAAGCATTAAAAGATAACAGGTATAGTATGCCTAACACATAATTTATTAGGAATTCGTGTTCATTATCTGATTAAAAAAGTTATGTCCACCTTGTTTTTTCCCACGATTATTGAGCTCAATTCCACGCCCACGCTTATTTTGTCGCGGTTGGTAAACAAAAGACAAAAAACACAGTTAAGCTTTGGGCAACTGGCTTTAGATAAACGACTCGAAAGACATTGATTTTATTAGTTTTCATTTTATTATTAGAGCAAATTCATGTTTAACTTAAAAACATAATGAATTACCGCAATAGTCTTCATCTGGGGCGGATCTAGAATAAATCAAATAAATCACGCGACTGAAGTTTACAATTCAAAAATTAGTCATCAAAATTAATGCTTACAATTCTATTTTGTCATTGGACTAAGTCACTAAGGAGTTATATGAGATATGCTCATGCAAATCTAGTGTTATTTTCGCTTGTTAGTCGTTAGTGTCGATCGCAAAATTTTGTAATTGGCGAGAAATTCTGATATGGATGGAATTTTACAGTATGATCACAAAAAAACTGACATATTGGACAATAACGAAAGAGATCCAATGAACGAGAAACAGATGCCAAAAGTTTTTTTCAAAACTTAAATTAAGTTTTTTTGAGCATCGCAGACTCCATGAAATAAATGAAGATATCAATAAACTGTGGTGGTGCATTTAAAGCACATGGAAACGGATAAACCGATGAAGAAACGACCGAAAAGCTTAAAACAAACTGAGTTTTAGGACAAAAGCGATGTTAATGATGAAGAAGCCTTGTTGCAAACGACAGACATCCTGGCCAACATGGTCATAAAGGGTGAAAGAAGCGTCGAAACTGCTCGAAATGAATAGGACGCTATGCTTATTGATATCTAGAAAGATTTCCATCAAGAGGAGGACCTAGGTCTGAGCATAAAGAAGCAACTTACTGACATTATAAACAAAAGTTAGCCTGCTAAACTAACCGACACAAAAATAAAAGAAAATTTGAAAGAATACGCACGACCGGCAAATTCTTAGAAACTAAGTGTCCCAGAACACAATATGAGTCCATTGAAAAAGGAAGATTTATTGCATTCAAAGCGAATTACTTTAATTTCGACCTCTTTTGCTAAAGGTATAAGGTTTTTTGCAGTATTTTTTGAAGTTAGTATGGTGTATGAGACAGTAAAAATGGTCAATTATTGATTAGTTATCAGAAGCCTCATTAAGCCGTAACATCTGACACTCTATCAAGGTGGCTTAAAAAATCTTAAAAATGGATGGTATTACTGACTTTAAAAGACACAACACCAGAGCTGCGTCATCATTTGCAGCAAAATGGAGTAATGCTGATATTGCATGAACCTTGCAAGTTGCTGAATGGATAAATATCTACGCTTCACATATCTTATAACAATTCCCTGCACATCAACGCCAGTTTTAGGCTAGCGTTGTTACAGTGCGGTCCAAAGGACCAAATGTAGCAAAATATAATGTTATTGTTATTCATCGAGAGCGGTTTTTCAGAATATATTGACGATTGAGGGGCTGTTATTATTACGTACGCTCATGATCCCAACACTTTGAATATTTCGCGTAACTCTTTAGTAACGTGGTCCAATGACGAAATAGAATTTAAGTGTGATTCTATGCATGTGATTTAATGAACAAGGAAACTAAGAAGTCAACCATGCACAGTAATGCCTGAGAGAACAATTTGGTTTGTTTCCCACCTATGGGTTTTTTTTCCTTATGTTTTTATCACTCACAGCATTGAAGACTGAACATTTGACCTGCGTGCACATATCTGACGTGATTCCCTCGTTTCATTCTCCAATAACTCATAGAATTACAATAAAACTTCAAATTACAGTTAGTTTTTCGTTTGATTTTAAATTATTTTGTTATCATCAAAATTCCTGATTTATAATGTCGTTCAAATTTCATTGTCAAAATTCTATTTTATATCTGAAAACTTATATAAAGGTCACCCTAGTAAACAGATCATACGATTTTAACATATCTGGAATTATATTAACTGACTGACTAATAAGCGGGTTGGCTCGACATGTTTGACAAATAAGGGACTTTAAGAATGCTGTTTAAGCCATTCCATTGGTTAATAGCCAGATCAGTAGACGATTTGGTATGATATCGAACGATAAGCGTGATGGCCGGATCAGTTAGGGAGTTCAATTGCTATTGTGTAATTAGTTCGTTTAAGTTTTTGTCTTAAGCCTTGTTCACAGCTACAAGCTTTCTACCTGCGAATACGCCTGCGAGCGTTGACGGCTTTCGCCTGTATGCTTTTGCCAGTTTTCCTAAGCGCGAAAAGTCAAAATGGCACCTGTTAATAGGAAGCTTTTTCCTAGAGTTTGGTTAGCAATTTGTTTGCTCTTACTCAAATTAAGATACAGGAAACTGGAAAAGTTGATAAGAAATTAAAACCCCGGAGGCTTAGGGTCCAACCTTTGCAACCTTACAGAAAGATCAAATTTTGGGCTATACCATAGTTTATATTTAGAGCTAAGATTGTTTAAGCAAGACTACTTCTCCAGGTTTTAATATTTTATTTTGTGTGCTTTGCAATGCTGATGTGTTTTCAGCATCGCTATTTTAAATATTGAAATGTGAGGAAATATAAGGATTGCGCGGTACATTTCAACTTGCGATGGCTGCCGAAGAATGTTCACAGCAAGAATATTGGCTTTGTTGTGATTGCTTTTGTTTATTTTGACTGATAGTTTTTTTTTCATATATATGGTTTGAAATCTGATTTTTGTTACATCTATAAAGTGTCTCTTTTGTTATTTTATTTCTTAACTCATAGAAGCATGAATGGGGTCACTAGCGGGGTCTATGCTCGACAACTTGGATATAAATTTAAAGACTATATCTGTTTTCGATTAGCATTATTGTAAAGTTAATTCTATGTTTATATGCATGGTAATAAACCTTAACTTTTAGATTAATATTCAAGTATTTTTCATTTCACAGTTTTTTTTTTGAAAAAAAAAAACGAAAACGAAAGCAAAATATGTTGTTTTTACACAAAAACGATGCCCACAAAAAATTTTGTTTTACTGTCAAACTGTGAAAATGGCATTTCTGAGTTTTTAATTAAATAAAGTAAATGGTTTGAGCCCGGGAGTATCGTTACCTGTATGTAAATGTAGATCGTCCAAGTTGGTATAGTCGTGAGAAGGACTGCTTTTGTTGTCGTTGACTGACGTTTTGACAACTTTGCGGCAGTCATCTTCAGAGTCAAAGCGGTAGTCATATTTCGATTAGCATTATTGTAGAGTTAATTCTATGTTTACCTTCTTGGTAATGAGCCTTAACAACCTTAGTGGTAGTCATTTTCAGAGTCAACCTTAGCGGTAGTCATCTTCAGAGGCATTTGACGTCGGTCAACAACAACAAAAATAGTCCTTCTCAGGACTATACCAACCTGGACGATCTACTTTCACAAACATGTAGCTTTAATCAAAATCGAAAATTTCCCAAGAGAATTTGACCATACCCTCCTCGGTGGGGAATGTCTTAGGTGATCCATTACCAAAGTTTGAAAAATCCTAGGTCAGCTCCCGCTGTTCTTTAATCAGTTTCGCTTTTTTCCTACTTTTTGATGTAGTAAAAATTTTCTTGAAGCAGTGGCAGATTTTTGAAATAATTCTTCTAATTTTAATTTTATTTATGAAAACACATTATATAAAACGTACTGTTCATAATATTCTAGTAATAATACATAACTATCCATCATTATACTCACTCAGGATTTTTTTTTCTTAAACAAAATGTTTGAAAAAACTTGATGTTTGATAACGTTTCTTTTTATAGAATATTATATTAATAAATTCTAGCAACAAAATCAACGTTCCAAATTGTTTTGTTTTTTATTTTAAACAAATGTAATAGTTCAAAAGATGGTGTGTACTTGATAATGACAGATACTTCACTTGGCTACAGCAAAGTTTTCTGTATGAAAAACATTTCTGGTTGTTCTGGAGAAGACTGGACGCTAGTGATGAAAATTGATGGGAAAAAGGTACAAAAAAATAAACTGAATTTTGCCTTTAACAATAAATAGTAATATATAACACTTTAAGACATAAACTTTTATCATATGTGCAGGCATGGCAAAATGATAAAAATATATTCATGTTGCACTCAGGAGCGTTATTTTTGATGGAAATCGCAATTTTTATCTTTACATTGAAAGTTTTTACAAACCATAAGTTATTATTTAAGCCTGGTTAAAGTTTCCACTAAATCATAATTGCTAACAGTCATTAATTTTCATCGCATTTGTTGTTACGACTTCTGCACGCAAATTAATAGAGACTTTATAGAAGTATTAAATACAACAATCACAATAAAGTCGTAAGTATTGGCTGGTGATGATTTTTGGAGTGGTGATTACGACTGATATTTTACAACCTAAATCCTACTTTAGAAACAATAGCTCACTGCTATTTAGTACAGTCAAAATATGCAGCCATAATCAACAAAACTTTCTTGGAAATTTTTGAAAAAGGCATTAACCTTTTTTTTGACAGCCTTTTAAAAGGTTATAGAGCTAAAAATTACAGATAGAAAAAAATTTGAAGCAATGTGGCGGAAGCTAATGAATTATCAGTTGAATAATGCTAAAGAAGCACTTGCAATTAAAATAGGCTGACTCACTTCTTTCATTATATTTCATGTCCACATGTTTTCCGTCCAGAACACCAATACAATTTTCAAGACTTTATTCATTTTTTCATTCACAAAAATTCGTCCACTCTAGTGGGAGATTTTAAATAAGTTTTGCTTAGAGGTAGTACATGATCAAGAGCTTGTCAAAATAAATTATATCTCTTAGTTTCAAAATCAAAACAAATATAGAACAAAATTATTGGTAACTAGTTTCCAAACAATGAAAGTTTACTGATCTAAATGCCTATAAGTTATTCCGAATTGTCTATATGTCCAAGAATTAGGTGCAGAAATTTATTTTGACGAGCATTAAATCTGCAACTGAACCAGGACAATCCAAATTGCATGTTTTGTTTCCAATGCCGCTTTGCGCATAGTCAATTCAAATCATTATACATGCAATCAAGTTAAAAACTGTTTTTTCACGAGTGTAGGAGATTTAAAGCAACATTTGTTCATATTAAAAGAAAGTGAGTTGAAAGTCAAGCAATATTTTGTGCTAAAATATCTTTATTTTGTGTGTTTATATACAACAAGCAAAAATTCAGTTCTAGAAAAAGGGAGGTTTGAGTGAAGAGTTTTCGTGTGGAAAGGAATTTGCGCCATCACTCATACTAGGATTTCCGACTGTGTTTATATTTATACACGTTAAAGGGTTATTTGCTGTTTTGATGAAAGGAAATACTGTTGGCTTCAAAATAAATGTTAGTAACATTTAAATACTATGTAGATAGTTTATAACATGCTTTAATTTACAAAAATTATGTTTAGGAAACATTCGACTTTAACTCATCGTTTTGGACAAATAAAAAGAGTTACAATATTAAAAATGGTAAAACAGGAGTGGATAATTTGGAAACAAAACTTCCTACCTACTGGAGCACAAAAATAAACAAGATCTGTGTTGGAATGAAATTCGAAGGTGAAACAAATTTTATCAGCCTCAATTTTCCTGCTAAATCGTTGTACGATATAATTGCCGATGGAAAATACCGCCAAACCAATGTGAGCAGAAACAAATGGATGTCATTGATTTATGACAGTGTTCTTCAACCGAACTGCAATAAAGAAGGTTTTAACGCAAAGGCAGGAAAAGAGTCATTTGCTCGTGTAAGGATTGGTATCCTGGGAGATAATAAAAACCATTGTAAGTCAAGCAACTCTTTCATTGGTTTTGGCTGTACGTACAAGAATTGCACGCGAAACGCTCAAAAAAATAGCTGTGGAAACTTTAAGCGCTGCAATAGAAATAATAACAAACAATCAATGGGATACATTTTTGTTTCCTAAATATAGTAATACTTATGTAGATCCACATTTTTTTGTTTGAAGTCATTAATATTTGTGTAGTTTGTTTTATATAGTTATGCCAATAAGCTCTATCAGTATAAATTGTAAACTTACTTTCTTTTTATTAGCTATACGGACAATTCATCAACTTTTCTTTAGAGTAATTTATAGAAGACTTTTACAAACTAAATTAGCAAGTCCATTTTTGAAAGGCTATCATTAGATTTATCTATTGTGAGGGCAAAATAATTGTATTCTTTAAGATTTTTATGTTTTAAAACAGTACCAAAAACGTATGTTAATAAATGGCACATGTAAAAATAACACAAAATATGCTTGTTATTTAAATTGGTAGCACTCATGTTTTTGTAATGAAAGAACTTGCAGCAGAGACATCAGAAGAAAACTGTTTTAAAAATAAATTTTTTTCATTCCAATTTAAAACAGTTTTGTTTATCTGTTTCATTACAAACAAAGCAGACAAGAATATTTTCTCTAAAAGCAACAAATCATACGCTTTAATTTCTCACGCATGTAAATATCTGATCCATTGCAGAAAATTAAAATGAAAAATTCAGCAGCTTAGACCCTATAATTATAGCTATTTAGCAAAGATTTATTGCAATAAAAGATCTAAATAAATGCAAAACTATGAGCATACGGTTATTTGACGATTGGCACAGCCTGGTCACAAGTTTAGCATACAATTTGTTTAACATAGGCATGCTTCATTTTATCATTTATTCCATGGACTCATTCAGGAATAAAATGTAAAGAATTTGAGTAGTTCAAACAATTTATTTTGCACGCATTAAAATTAGACTTAAAGTGATGTAATTTTCTAAAAATTATGCAAAATTTGAGCAGTATTTACATAGATACGGTTGTATTAATTAAGACAGCGTATTTAAGAGAAGCAGAAACTTAGTTACATAGCTACTAAAATAATTTTCGTTCAAGTGTATGGTTTCGTGTTTCACTTTTAAAAGCTATTAAATTAATAATTCCCCTATTTACATATTTTGCTTGTTTGAAACACGCTATCTTATTTTTAGGCAATGTCACATGCATAGTCATATTGTGCGGTGTTTCTGGAATTACATGAATCATAATTCATGTGAAATGTTCCCCGTTTTAAATATTTTTTAATAGCATAATTTTTTTTTTGAGTACAACAGATCACAAGGAAATTATTTTGGCACGACCATTTATTAATTGGTAAAGAAAATTTAAAATAAGAAAATTATCATTTCATTACAGAAAAGTAATTAAAAAAACAAACGTTATGAAAGCTAATATGTTTATAGTGATTCACTTATAGCTAAGCTGCTTTTTTTTGACAACGATGTTTATGCGAGGTAAACTATTTTTAAAAATATCTATAAAGTTACAAATAGCAATGTTTTTGTGTTTTGAATATTTTCATCAAATCAGATGTTTCATAATTTGCTATGATTCTACACACAATGTTAAGGCCCGTTGTGTAGAAAGTACTATAAATAGTTTTGGTAGTAAAACATTTAAAATACACATACATACACCCAGAGTCTTTTTTTTTATCAAAATTATTTTTGACATATAGACTGCTAAGCACAATATATAAAAATATTGATGTGAAAAATGAGTTAGAATGCATTGTTTCTTGCCTTAAGGAGCCATGTTGTCAATCTATAAACCACAGGAGAAGGTTGAGTCAGAGACGTTGTAGTCTATGTGAAATAGTCCATAGTGTCCTAAACTATAGCAATGGCAAAGATATAAAACATAATGGATTTTACGATTGTATTTTTTCAACTCCCCTTTAAGGTAGAAATAACCTTCATAAAGAAGTACGTTGATAAAAATGTTTCATCAAAGTTATACCAACTACCTATTTTTATCTTTAGTTGTTAAATGTTACACGACGTTTTTTTTATTTAAACACAAATTCCTTACTCTTTATTTCAAATGATAATTTTTTTGTTTACAAGTATAATGAAACATGTAAAATCCAATGGTGTAAGTTAGATGCATTCTACATTCACACTGGTTTTTATATTTATATAAACATAAGAAACTCGTTCTTAGCTTTTGACAAAAGTAATTATTTGCTCTTTTCCAACGCACATGTTGAGAATGTGATTCAAAAGACTTTGACTCTAAAGATGACTACCACTAAGGTTGTCGAAACGTCAGTCAACAACAACAAAAACAGCTCTTCTCAGGACTATACTAACCTGGACAATCTACATCTACAAACATGCTATTTAATAACGTGAAAATATTAACGCAATAATTGGCGTCAGTCCTGTTTGAATTGAGATGGAGGGGGGGCATATTCTTATATTCTGCTATGCTTGGTTAATTTCTTTATAAAAACAATGTGATTGTCACAAAAAATAATTTTGGCATAACTGAATATATCACTATGGTCCCCCGCAGATATCGCAGGACTGACGCCCATTTTCGCAATTGTTTTAATTCAGAAGAACGTTTTGTAAACGATGTAGAAAAGTTAAGTGAAACATCATCTTTCTACAACCTTAAACCAACGTTGTATTAAGGTTGTGCTTTTAAATGAGCCGCCATTAGACAGTTCAAAACACTATGCTTTTGAAAAACTGATATGAATGAGACTAATGAAGCGTTTGTTAACATTTCACTACAGCGCGGACATGTAAAAATTTGTCTTTGTGGTACATATTTTAGAGACAAATCTGTTTGAACTCGTTATCCAGCCAAGTCAAAAGCTATTATCTGAAGAAATAAATTTTGTCCATTTTTGAATTTTCTTGCTGGTCCGTATTTCCAATCATTTCAACTAATTTCTCATATTAAGAATAAGCCGTATTATGTCTATTTCAAGAAAAAAATTAATGAAAATCATCCACGTACAGCTTTTTGACTAATATTGTTTTGACAACAAGGAAACCCCCGATAGATCCTACGTTGTTTATTTGTTTGTTTAGGTTTCAGATAAAAAATGATGGCAGTTTTTATTTACATAAGCATATGTATATGCATATATAGTATTTTAATATTCAAATAGAATATTGCCAAGATAGTCTTTAAGAATTTCCTTAGAGAAAAAAGTCCTGTTAATGGCACATTACAGAAAGTTGTTATTAAAGAGTGAGTTGCTTAAAGATTTATAGAAAGCTTAATAAACGTTTTTGTTTTAAAAAAACATATTTGATCAGTAAATACGCTAATTTGACAAACTTTGAAGTGCAATTTGTGAATGACAAAGATCGAATGAATATAATTATGTTCTTTACCGGCTGCGAGCTCAACACAGAAAAAATATTTTTACGACCTCTCAATGCTTATTTCATCATCCTTTTTAGGATAGTGAAATATTCAAGTGTTCCCCATGGAGGTCTTCTACAATGAAAGAATCATTTGTAATAAAAATGTCATCAGGCCAATCAAAATGGTCCCGATGCATTTTTTTTGACGAAAAAACTTTCACGGTGTTTATGCAACCGATACTCGTCTTGTTTGCACAAGTAGAACTTCTTACATATTCAAAGTTAAACTATAGATTTGTTTGCTAAAAAGTGCCAAGGAAAATGAACTTATACAAATTTATTAGAATTTGTACTTGGTAACCTTGGTAACCTTTGTGTAGTCGATTAACAATTTAGAAATAAAGCAAAAATATCAAAATAGTAATTCAAAATATGGAAAAGGACGGGAGGTTATAAAGTGTGCATATGCAACTAGCTGCAGGAGTTAAGTGAGATACAAACAAGTTGAAGTTTTCAAGGAGTGTGGTCTATTATCAATTTTATATCGTACTTGGCTAATTATAAGTCGCAAATTACTTGTAAGAAAGGGAAAAGTAGGGTAGTAATTACTAATCAAATTCTTGTTGGTTGTAACGAAGCCTACCTATGTTTAAGAGTTATTGTAATTTGTCATTACTATATCTGCATTAGAAGTACAGAGAAGTTTGGATTGCCTGTTGACAAATGTGATTTGTCTTGATTTAATAAAGCAGTACATTATCTATACATTCAAAGGGTTTTTTGATAAATAAGAGTATATAATTTTAGTCAAACTTTATGGTCTTATAGATGCATTCGATGTTGCAAATTACTTTGAAAGAAAGTTGTCCTAGAAACACAGAAATACACGTAAACCGTATTAATGTCAATTGCAGAATGCATTGGGTTTATCATAGGTTATTTCGTTTCATTCACAATATACTCGTGAGTAGCTATGACACTACTTTAACGCTAGATTTCCTCAAACACATTTCTTTTATTCTTTAGGCGAGATTACACCGTGACTGTTGAATGTATTAACCATGTGTGAATGATTATAACCTGTATTAAAACAAGGTCCAAGACATCAGGTCTCCTTGCTAGCTGCCTTAACTGCTCTTCTGTAGCGGCAGAAACGTAAATATTTGCAATCGATGACGTCAATACGACAATGATTTCCTTTCTAGACGGTTTTCATAATACCAATTATATTTGAAAATTGTATAAGTAGAAAACAACATCAAACGGAGCAATATTGAGAAACTCTTCACTCAAATCTCTTGTGATTTTAGAGGGCACCATACTTGCTTGACAAAACATGAGTCAGGCTTCCGCGTTCTAATTTATGATGTACTCAAACAGTGTCCTTGCCAAATAATTAAAACCTACAGAATTATATCAAAACAATCCCATGTTTGTAAATGTAGATGGTCCAGATTGGTACAGTCCTGACAAGGACTATTTTAGTTGTTTTTGACTGACGTTTCGAACACCTTAGCGGTAGTCATCTTCAGAGTGAAATGAGGAGCAAACGTGAGGTTAGCCGTATTTTTTATCTGGTTCTTACGTCATTGTATTGTGTGTTCAGGAAATGTGTGGGGTGAATTGTGTATTGCCTTTGTGAATTAGTGTGAAGTGTAATGTTTTAAGTTGATAGTTTGTTTGTATTTTGAATAAGTCGTTTGTAAGGTGCCGGTAATTGCTGTGATCTTTTCAGGGAGGCTTGTTCCAAGTTGGTATACCAAATTTCTAATATAAGCCGTTGTCTATAGTCAGTATTGTAAGTAATGCGTTTTGCCAAGTCCCAGTCAATGTTACGCTTTGTGATTCGGTAATGTTCACCAATGTGATTAGTTTTGTCTTGTTTCTTAGCAGCTCGTTTGTGTTCAGTAAGTCTTATGTTTCAGTTCCTGCCAGTTTCCCCGATATAGAAGACGTGGCAGTCGGAGCAGTTTATTTTGTATACTGCACCTTGTCGTTCGTTGGGTTGTTCTTTATCTTTTATGTTTGTTACTACTTGTCGTAACGTTATGATTGGTTTATATGCGACATGCATGTTGTATGGTCGTAAGATATACGAGATAGTCTCAGATGTGTCCTTTATGTAAGGTATCGTTGCTGTTGTCACTGAGCTGTTCGTTTTGTTGATTTCGTTGGGTTTGTAAGTATTGCGTTTGATAAAGTCAGAGGTAAATGGTTTGAACCCGGGAGTATCGTTATGTGTTTGTAAATGATGATCGTCCAGGTTAATAAAGTCCTGAGAAGGAATATTTTTGTTGTTGTTGACTGACGTTTCGACAACCTTAGCGGTAGCCATCTTCAGAGTCAAAAAGAACATCTCAGTGTCATTTTGACTCTGAAGATGACTACCGTTAAGGTTGTCGAAACGTCAGTCAACAACAACAAAAACAGTCCTTCTCAGGACTTTATTAGCCTGGACGATCATCATTTACAAACATATAAAGTCAGAGGTATAGTTGTTTATTGTCAAAAACAAGTTTGAGATAGTTGTTTTCGTTGTGTAAAGCGTGCGATGAATCACATATGATTTGTGCACGTCTTGATAATGTCCTGATTGTGGTGGCTTTGTGTGATGTAGGGTTGTAAGATGATTGGTCTAGTAGTCGGTCAGTATGTGTTGGTTTGCGATAAACTGTTGTCCGTAGTTTTTGATTGTCTTGTTTTACCAAACAGTCGAGAAAAGGAAGAGTTCCGTTTTCTTAGTAAATTGTAAGTGGCTGTTCTGTTTGTTGATGTGAGGGTGAAAGTCATTAATCTCGTCTGCATGTAGTGCTGTGATTGTGTCATCTACGTAGCGGACCAAAAAAGTGGTGCACGTTTGTAAGTCGTGACCGCCCGTTCCTCTATAGACTGCATTACAATTTCAGCAAGAACTACAGAAACGTGTGAGCCCAATGCTGTTCCGTGTAATTGTTTGTAGTGTGTACTTTTGTACTGAAAGTAAGTCGAGGTGAGGCAGAGCTCCAGTAGCTCCATAATGTCTTCTGTCTGTAATGGCAGTACGTCCGTGGTGTTTATAATGAGGGTTTTTGCACAAGCAAGTGCTAGATTAAGTGGAATACTGGTATACCGTGAGCTAACATCAAACGACACTAGTACATAGTTGTCCGGTGTTTGTACAGTGCTCAGTTTTCTAATGAAAGTTTCAGTGGATCGTAGCCTGTGTTTTGATTTGTATGTAAGTGGTTGCAGTATATCAGTCAAGTACTTTGAGAGTTCGTAATAGGCGAACCACAAAAGGATACAATTGGTCGCATGGGTATTTCTGCTTTGTGATGTTTTGGTAGTCCGTTTTAGTCTGGGTGGTCGCGGTACTGAACATCTAATTCGATAGTAAATGCGTTCAGATATAATGTTGGATTTTCTCATCGAGAAGATCTTGCTGTTAAGTTTGCGTACTAGTGATGGTGTTTGATCTCGTTTAAGTTGTTCGTACGTTTGTCTGTCTTTGACAAGGTGTCCGTTTTGTTGAAGTAATTATTCCTCTCCATGAGCTTTGTCACGCGTTCTTTTTCTGCTGGTAAAATGACGATGTTGTCGTCGTGTTTTAGTCGTTTGAGTGCTTGTTGCTCGTCCTTTGTCAAGTTCTTGTCACTATAGAAAACAATTGTAAAGCGGAGGATTTCCTGCTTCTGATCTCGTCTTTGCTTGTCTCTGACAAGTCTCTTTGATACGCTAGGAATCCTCGACACTTGATATTATCTTCTAAGTTGGCATTCGTCTACGTGTTATGGAATGTTTTAGTCCGTAAGATAGTGGTCGTGTTTCAGTTTCGTCTACTGAGCGGGATGAGATATTCATCACCCAGTTATCGTCATGTTTATGTCTTGTACATGTCCTAGTGCATTTTAAACGTTCAACTTTTGTTGTTGTTTGATTTTGTGTTGTTTCTCTGTCTTGTTTGCTCATTTCTATGAAATAGCTTGTATCGTAGAAAGTAAAGTATCACTTAATGTCGTTGGTATGAGTTCCTTCAGTTTTTTCAGTCTTTGTACTTGTTGTTTAATGGAATAGTTGATTCGTCTGTGAGAGTCGTTAATCCGTGCTCGTATAAGTCATCTGGTGGTGGATTTGACAATCTGAATAGCCTCTTGTGTGTTCAACGGGGACTTAATTCTAAGTCCTGTTGGAAGAAGACCAAAAACTTTGCACTGGTGATTGAACGAGAGTTGTTGGCGTATGCGTCTGACGTTGCTTGCAAAACGTATGTAGTTGTTAGAAACAACACAAACAAAACAACAACAAAAACAGTCCTTCTCAGGAGTATACCAAATTGGACGATCTATATTTTTAAACATGTAACGATACTCCCGGGCTTAAACCAGATATTTTATTACGATCATTTGGACGACAGAGCGAACAACTTGCTAAGGACACTTGTAATATCATCATTTTACAAGCAGACAAAGAACGCGTGACTGTGGTCTTAGACGGGAATGGTTACTTCGAAAAAATGGACACCCTTGTTAACAACAGACAAAGGTACGAGCAACTCGAAGGAGACCCAACATCATCACTAGTACGCAAATCGAACAGCATGATCTTCCCTATGAGAAAATCTAACATTATACCTGAACGTATTTACTATCGACTTAGATGTTCAGTACCACGACCACCCAGACTATACGGACTACCAAAACATAAAACCACAAATACCCATGCGACCAATTGTATCATTTAGTGGTTCGCTTACTTACGGACTCTCAAAGTACTTGACTGACGTACTGCAACCACTTATAAGAAAATCAAAACACAAGCTACAATCAACTGAAACTTTCACTAAACTGAGCACTATACAAATACCGGACAACTATATACTAGTGTCTTTAGATGTGAAATCACTGTTCACCAGTATTCCACATAATCGGGTACTTTCTTGTACAAAACCCTCATTATAAACACGGACGATCTACATTTAAAAACATGGGATTGTTTTGATATAATTCTGTAAGTTTTAGTTATTTGGCGATGACAATGTTTGAGTACATCGTAAATTAGAACGCAGAAGCCTGCCTCATGTTTTGTCAATTAAATATGGTGCCCACATACGGAGACTTGAGTGAAGAGATTCGCAATATTGCTCCGTTTGATGTTGTTTTCTACTTATACAATATTCCAATATAATTGGTATTATGCAAACCATCTAGAAAGGAAATCATTGTCGTATTGAAGTCATCTAGTGCAAATATTTAGGTTTCTGCAACTACAGAAGAGCAGTTTAGGCAGCTGGTTAGTAAACCTGATGTCTTAGACCTTGTCTTGTACCAACTTAATCTTTTGTGCTATATTTAATGACAATATGCTTATACTATTTAATTTGTATAATTAGCATATTGTTTGCCTTATGTTGAGAAGAATTTAGGAATTGAACAAAGCAAAGCCAACTTTAATTGTTTCGATATATTTGACAGCATCACATTGTGAAAAAACCACTTAATGCAATAACGTTTTAATTCATATTTTGATGCAAACCATAAAATTATAAATAATTTTCTTTAAGATAATTATCAGAAACTGCACAGTTTTCATTTATTGGTCTTTGTTTTTATCCTGAGATACTGATAAAAGCTTAACCGTGTTTTTTTTTCATTCATTATTTCTTTAGAAAGTAGGCATACTGATGGTAAGATTTCAACATCAGGAAGTGTTGTGGCATTGCTTATTTGATCCTGTACTGTAACAGCAGGGTAGAGTGTTTAATGTTACATGAAACGGCTAAGTTCTGTGAAATGGCCAAATGCAAACATAAGTTGATGTGGCTTGGAAAAACACTCTGTTGATATTTTATGGCTATTGTGAGTCATAACAACATCCACTAATGCTTTGTTCATCCTGGGTAAGTATGCCTAGTGTAGGCAAAATTTATTACTGTTATTGGCAATATCTAGCTTTTTTTCAAATTCCATCTCTTCTAAGGTTTCAGTATAATATCGACTAACCTGAACGTTAACATCACCAATTGGACGTTGTACTCTCTGATTAGGAACTGAAGATCCCAGCTATGATCAAATCGTACCATTAACGGTCTACCATATTTATCGACAGTCTTTAAGAACTTTTGTAGTACAGATTCAGCCTTGTTGTTGTCGGATGCTTCTCGAAAAGTGATAAGACTAGTAAAGCCATCAATTGTGAGGTGGGTTTCAAAGCCTGTGTATGGTGGCCCTGTTTGAATTCTGAAATAATCCTTTTAGATTGGAATCAGAAATGGCTTTAAATATTTCAGGATTAACAATAACTGCGTTAGGTAAAAGGTTATAGTTTGTTGGCCGAGTTTGTCATTAGCGTACGGTCATTTGATCAACGCTGAATCCAAAATCAAGCATCTCTTTGACTTTGCTAGGACTTGCACCAGCTTTAGGTTGCCTTTTCAATAAAGTAGTTAAAAATAAGCGTAATGAGATCATTAAACAAATTAGCTAAATATCAAGTGTACTTTTACCTTCTTGTGGATACGTCTGTTTCTTCGTCGATATTCCCAACCTAAATTTCCATTGTGGAACGAGTATAATACAAGAATGAAATTTTCCAATTGCAAAGTAAAGTTTATAACTGCAGTGTAACTTAAATACGAACAAAGTAAATTTTGCCACCAGCCTAACTTTACCACCAAATTTGTTAATATTGTAGTGTCAATACATTCCCCGTGTAACATACTGGAAGCAATCGTTATTACAGTTTATTTTGAAATTCGTGTTTCTTCTTAGTCATTCTCCAGTTTAGCAACTGCTTATTGTTTTACATTTGGCACGTACGATATTTATTCTAAATTCGGATTGATAAGCAGTGGAGTATTTAATTTGCAATAAACAATACATGCCTTGTTTGGAGAAAATATACGGTTTGTTTGCATTGAATACAGAAATGGTTACTAAATAATGAAATTCGAGACATTGTTTTGCATAAATAGTATTTTTTTACACTTGGCGCCCCATATTAAATCACCGATTCTTGAGAGTATTCAGCCAATCTTGTACATTTTCATAATCAATGATCAAAAAACAAAATTTCAACTCCACTTTTGTCAATTTAAAACACAGTGCACTGTTCTTTTTCTGAGACATTTCGTACAAAGACATTACATTAATATCATCGCTTTTCTGCTAAAAAAATACCGTTTTTGGACTTCGTTAAGAGTTGTTAAAAAAGTTATTGCTTTCCAATTGTAAAAGATAGAGCCAACTCTTGGCATCAAAATGACTTTGGTAAAACTACTATTAAAACTGCAGTAGCTGCTCAGGGATCTTGCATTATAAACGGATTCCCAAAAAAGTAAAATATTTTTTACAGTGAAGATGGTAAAAATTGGACACTTTAAAGAAAATGGATCGAAAATTGTATAAGTGCATTTGAGTAAATTCTCGGTAAAAAAGTATCATGTGCAAGAAGTTTGTCGTTTCGGTAAGGTATCGAAAATGTTTCGGTAAGTTGGTCTTTCTAGATCTTATATTTTACGTTGCAAGCTTACCCCGGCTACATAAAAAATTTCTAGAATAAACAAATTCATAATGTCATTTTGGTCATTAAGACAATAGCATCTACAAGATGTCTTCATAGTCCTCTATGCTTCCTTTTCGGCATTTATTCTCAGAATTTTAGAACATTTAACTGTTATCACATTTCCAAAGAAAATTTAAATTTTCTAAAAAAAATTTTGGTGGAGAGGGGCTGAGCAGATCTACAACATCACTGAGACTTTAGCCACAGCAGCTAAAGTCGATATATGAATTTCTTTGAGCTAAAAAAATCTTTTCGTTTACCATTAGCATCAAATGATCAAACAATTTTGAATAAATATGACAAGAACAATATAACTGTTCTTAGCAATATTAGGATATTTAAAAGTGGCCCTGTCAGTTGAGTTCACACTTGCAGTCAAAATTTTCAAAAACTTGTTATATGAACTTAAAAGAAGGCGTATGCAAAAATATGCTTAATATTGCTGATGCATAAAAGTTCGTAAGTTTTATGTACTTTATGCATGTTATGTTTGTGTGACTTTTGTCCTTATTATAAAAGCTCACTAACACTCACACTCACACTTAGATGACTTTGTAGCCATGCTCAGAAGTTGTGATTTGGGGTAAGTTTTTAAAAAGACGTTGTTCTTAATATTACATCCAAATTCTTAACTGACTTATGAACGTTTTTTATTGTAACTGAAATAAACGAATTTTGGTTTTATCCTTGTGGCAAAGGAGGCAGGTGGATTAATACCGTTGGTTCTAGAGAAATAAGTCTTTAATTTTTTAAAATAGCTGTTGTAATAGCACTTCTATTTTGCTAAAGAAAGAGTGCGGCCACCCCTATTCAACATCAATGTCGTAGAGTGCAACGAAGCATTGATTGGAGGAACTGGTCTTAAGTGTTTGCGGCTGGCTGGCTGTCTTTATTGCTGAGGTTGTGATACACACTATCATACAATATCAGACCTGTGTAGGTTAGGATTGTCAACAGTAGAAAGAATAACGAGTGTTCTTTTCATGGCCATTATTTTATCGGTTTCGCACAAAGCTTAGTTGCTGAGCCCTGATTTTCGTTCGGCGTATCGCTGCTGATCTTTTAGAGGCTAACAACATGTACGCACTGCGCGCCTATTTTTACTATTTTAACGCGAGCGCAACATGCAATATTTGATCCGCGTTTGCTGAGTGTAGCGCGAGTTAGATTGCACTCCTAATATAATCACATCATTAAAGCTGTTAAAAAATTTAAACTATAAAAGGAAACTTTTTGTCAGGTATTTATTTTTTGCAATCAGTAATAAATTTTCCCTGTCACACAATTCATTGTTTTCCTTTCAATAATCTGAGTGAAGAATGTTATATGCAACGGGATCCCGTTCATGATACAATTCCTTAAAGTGCAAAGATCATATCTTCATTTAATAATTTGAGTCAAAAACAACCTAACAAAGAGACATTTTTTTGAAGATTTTTTTGCAGAAAGCATTTTTTTGTAGAAACTGTTTGAATAAATTTAAGAGAACGTTTTTGCATTCAATGCCAATTTAATATTTTTAATACGAATTGTAGAAATATTATTATTCTTTTAGAAAAATTGTTCAAAAGTATAATATAATGATGTGCATTTATACATATTGCACAAGTGGTGTGCCTAAAAAAACTTAAACTTGACATTATATTAATAAGACACAAACATACGTAGTACGCCACAATTTATGACAGAAAAATGAAAAAATACAAACAGTTACTTTGCTTTTATGCATTCGGTGAAAACGAAAAAACACTTTCCTGTATGATGATTGTAACTTATGAAAATATTGGTGGTAAATTTTGCTCTGAAAATGTTTACGGAAGGGGGGGGGGGTTGGAGGTCAAAACATAAATGTGTCTTTTGTCCTTATTTTCTGCATTTTTGAGAGAAGAATGGGAATGAATACATTGAAATGAACTAAATACAATAAAAACATGGAAAATTAAAATCATGTGAATTGGGATGTATATAGATAATTACCTAAGAAACTAGCCTTGTTTGAATTTCATGTTCTTTAGAAAGTTTCATGTTAGTTAAGTAAAAAGGGGGATAAACCATATTATAATTAACTTTAAAAATTGAACAAAAGTTGCTCATAGACAATACCTTTTCTGGCTTTATAGTATTTTATGTATGAACGAAACTAACATCTGCAGTGCACATTTTCATTTAGCTTATAGAGACACTTGAAATAGTTGACCAATATGAATAACGTCAACATAAACATATTTTTTCCCGGGGTGTTGTTATAAGGAATTGAAATAATTTGGTCTGTTATTTTCAATGTAAATGGTATTTCTTGGAATTGTTGAAACAATATTTTGTTTCATATTTTTTCTGACAATGAAAAATAATGAAAGATAATGAAAAATCATCAAAATTTGTTTCCCCGTCCACAGAAAAGTACTTGTCTTGTGTTGACAACAAAATTCAAAAGCCAATATTACTAGCACTTTAGGACAAAACAATTTCTTATTAAGTTATATTTTTTCTAAGCTGCTGTTTGAGAAGAATAGAAAACAACTCGTCAGAATTCAAAAGACAAATTTCATTGATAGCCAAATTGCTTCTTCTATGGTAAGTAAAGAAAACATAAAAATACCTAAAATTCAGAGCCTATCACATAATTTAAGAACAATAGCTCGTATGGATTAAACTTCCTTATCAAGAGCATACATTTCTTTATCATAGTCATGCTTATACGTCATCCAATAGATAATCTAACACAATCTTCATCTTATATAATACTTAGCGCATTATGAAACATTTTGTATGTTTTTTAAACATTTTCTGTAGTTTAGAGTAGCATAGCCATGCATCATATATACATATATGCTACTTGGTAATTTGACTTCTCTAAAATTCTTTAAAAACATTTTACCGTTTCGCAAATCTTTTTATCATTTTATATTTATCCTTATGATGAAAACAAAAACGAATTGATTGATCACAACCAATGATAAAGTTCTACTAATTTATATTTATGAATGTCTGGAAATGTCTTATATCATATTTCCATTGATGCGCCAGACAAAATAGTTGCTACATCAAAAATATTTGAAGCAACCATCATTAAGTATTTTTATTGTAAATGCAGATAACAAAAATAAACAGATAAAAAATGTTTTTCGACTGTCATAGTCATTTAAGAATTATAAAATATTTGCAAACTGTTTTACGTTTTTAGATGAGAATGATAGTAAACTAAAACTTGAATGCATGTGTGATAAAGAATGTTTGATTGGACATTAAAACTAAAATTTAGGATTTAGGGAAGTAATCAAGAAAGAGAGGTACGCAATTGATATGGGGCAAATCATCATCAAACATCAATACAGAAGTCATTATAAAGAGCAAGAAATACATGCAGAAAAAATGATACATTTCTCGTCTCTTGTTTCTTCTGCTACGATTATTCAATATTGCAAGAATACTTATGACAGATGGCAAATACCTTTTAATTGTCTGAAGCAAAATATTTGAAGAAGTAAGAATTTTTTAACACTGCAAAGTTGCATTCCTCTATTTAGCTTTTTAGACTTTTTTTTACTTTAGCAGTTCAGTAAAAATGCTCATAAATTTCATTCAATTCCAAACTTAAATAATTATGAGAGTCAAACTTCTCTCTAATACTGACAGATGTTGTAAAGCAGAATATCATGTATTGCATAGCGGCATCGGGATTCTGTTAAACACTGCGCAACAGACTATTTTGCCCTCAACTTTGCTGGCTTAGTTGAGCAATACGTCTTTCCCATTAAACTAAGTTCACATGAGCAAGTTTGAAATCAACCCATTTTAATTGTTTCTAAACTGCTCTTGGTAAATTTCATATTTTGCGTCATTTAATTATAATGGACATTGAAATGTATTATTTCGTTCTATGCTTTCGTTTCCTAGAAACCTTATATCTATTTATGCAAAACAAGTTATACGCGGGTGAACTCGACTTATATGAATTGTTGTAAACATTAGTCATTATAATGAACAATTTGTCTAATCTATTGCAACAATATTCAATCGTCATCAATTTTCTGAAAGTAAACGTGAAAATACTTTTTGGGGAAAGAAGTTAAAATGTTACGTAATTGTAGAAATCAATACTTGATTCATACATCCCAAAAAAGGCTAAGAACAAAATGATTATATCATTGGAGTGTTGATAAGACTTTCATAAATAATGCAAAAATTTTATTACGAAAGCTTTAAAGAAATTAATAATCGTTCACCTTCTAACAAATAGAAAATAAAGATGTCATCAAGCTTAACAAAAGCGTTTCTTGGGACTCTTATA